ATCGCTGCCAGATAGTATCAATGGAAGCGCATGGCAATCCTATCGGCATCCTCATATGAACCTGGCAATGACTGAAAGTTCTAGTTTTATATTCATGAGTAATGGAGACGGATTCACTATTTTCTAAAGGATCTATGCCAGCTACACAGAGTTGCCATTGTTTTCAACAATTACGATTTTTCTTTGCAAATTGTTGTTCTATCCTTGCAGTTATACCAAATACCGCTCAGGACAAGCAGGACAAAGTTAATCAGAATTAATCGTGTCGCTCCAAGATTTCTTATCCATGCATGTTTGACCAAACACAACCACCACACTCAGTTGGGGTAAAGGTATAAACCACTTTATTGGATACGTTATCTACCAATCACAAACTTTCAAGTCCTAGACACTAGGTATGTATATATTTGTGTATATATTTATATATGTCAATATATACAAGACTAGTAAAACACTTCCGTGTTAATAGATCTTCAGGTCTGAAGATGGAATCCAGGTGGATTTCGAAACTGTGGTCTTTTTCAATAAATCTAGTTTTTGCGTTGTGGGTTTTTCTACCATATATATATATATATATATATATATATATATATATATATATATATATATATATATATATATATATATATATATATATATACATATATATATATATATTTATATATATATATACACACACACACACACATGCACACGTACACTCAGATCCCCACACATACATTACTTATAGTGTACCTGCATATATATTTACACAGCCCCATATAAGTGCAAACTTCCTCCAGATAATAAAATTCTTGTGTGGCGCAGAGGTGGTGCGCGCGGCGTCGCACTGCATAGACCAGGGTTGGTGCATGTACTGGGGCACCTCCCGCTGGTCGGCCGTCGAGATCATGGAGGCGTGGACCAACTGCCGCCAGTTCAACTGCATCACGCCCATCGTGGAGCAGAGCGAATATCACCTCTTCTGCAGGAGCAAGACAGAGCTCTATCTGCCTGAGATCTACAACAAGATCGGTGAGTTGAACGTTGCGTGACTGCCTTCATCAGGGGAACGGGACCGATAATATACATACATGAACACACACACACACACACACACACACACACACACACACACACACACACACACACACACACACACACACACACACACACACACACACACACACAGTGCCTCGCATCAGTGAAGTACAGCTCTTACATGTTACATACGAAGAAGATCAGGGTGGTCTAGTCTTCTAGCCATGGGTTCTGTAAATGTGTACGGTTCATGTTGAAGAATTATGTGGGTTTAAAGTGAACGAATAAGTGAAATACTGAAGAAGATAGTGAGGCTTTGTGAGCCGTGAAGTGAGAGCGAAGGAGAGGGAGGCGAGAAGTGACCGCGAATCAGGCATGGTAAGCGTTTTCGCGCATACAGACAACTGCCGTGAGTACAGCTCTATTTTGTGTTTGTTTTATTGGTAACCATTCATACCAGGGAAATGAAGCTTATGGGAGCAGCAGATAGAATTGTGGCTCTTGAAGCCAAGGTAGACAACCTGGCAGCAGTGAAGTGAATTCGTGAAGAAGACGTAAATTTTAAGGAATTGGTGGATAATCTGCGTAGGAACAAACTGAAAAGCCTGGCATGAAAATCAAAGAACTCAAGGAAAAGGTGGAAGACGTAGAAATCAAGATTGGCAACAGTAGTCAAAGCGAGGCAAAGACTCTGCAAGAAAAAGTTGATGAAGTAATCAAAGTACAGGAAACTGTTAAGCAGATTGAAAGCAATTTCTCAAGCAGCCAGTCTCAGATAATGGAAGAGGCAAAGAAGATGACAGCTGTATCTAAAGTAAAGGAAACTGTGTATATATATATATATATATATATATATATATATATATATATATATATATATATATATATATATATATATATAAACACATGCACACGTACACCCAAGGTGTAAATGAAATGGAAAAAAAGAATAGAAAAAGACCTCAACATCACAAAGGAAGAAATAAAAACAGCTTGCAGAGACGGTAAAGAAAAATGAATTCAAGTCACACCTTGGGCGACACAAAAGGAATGTTGCAAATTTGGCTGATGTAAACAAAGACAATCATATTGAGACATGAAGAAAAAGTAGATGGAGTCGAGCGATCCAACGAAGACAAGAGATTGACTGTCAATATTCTCAAGGTCACAAATCCCGAATTCTCGGAGCAGAATATCATAGCCCACAGGAGGTTGGGATTATTCGAAAAAGGAAAGAGACGCCCTTTGAAGGTGACTCTCATGAATAAGCAAACGGTAACTAATGTAATAAAGAAAGCTAGAGTCCTGGCCACACACGAAGAATATAAGAAAATCTGGATAAGATAAGCTACTGCAGAAAACAACTAGAAGAGGTAAGAAACAAGAACGAACAAAGGACTGAAGAAGAAAAAACTTGTTCATTTGGAGGGTGAGAGGCCTCCAAGCAAATAGTTTACTCTCGGAACCATAATGTGGAGAT